TACTTACACAGGGCTTGCAGGTTGGGTTTGTAGTCTCTACTTCAAAGCAGAATAAGAAATAAACTAGTATAATAAGTTTTTTCTTAGGGAGAGTTGTTTAGTGTAAATATCTATGTAGCTTATTTTTCTCAAGTATTTAATTAGCAGTCTATATTAACTAGAAAATACAATACTGTATATAATATATAATGCACATATATTATATATGGGTATATTCAAATAAATTTTCTTTTATTTATTTTTTTGGCAGTTTACTTTTAGAATTAAGCTTTAGAAATAGTTTTGGTGTATCATTTATATAAACTTTTTAAAGATATTGAAAAATGATCATTTATCAAACCATTCTACATTCCTGATCAATTTGTTTTCTCAAAGTCTTACCAACAGATGGTATTGTCATACTTCTTGACCTTCAAGTCTTTATCGATAAAGTAGCGAAGCCCTTTGCCAGTGAAAAGTTATGAGCTTTTATTCCTGCTTGTTATTTTTTAAATTGACTTTGCATGTGTTTTATTTCATTTTATTTTTTGTTCACAATTTAAAATTTTTTTGATATAGTAAAATTTGTCAATCTTTTCTGTAGTTGTTTCTGGATTTTGAGCCAGGGTTAGAAAACTTTCTCAATTCCTAGGATATATAAAAATTCGAGTCTTGTACTTGTCTTCTTTCAGTACTTGTATAGTTTAATTTTTTACATTTAGATGTTTGATCCATTTGGAATTTATTCTTGTAAACCTAATTTTATCTTTTTCCATATTTAGAAAGTGCAGACAGTTCTGCTATAATACTTGTTTTGAAAACACAAGTTGTTCCAATGCAGTTCATGTATTAGGGAACAGTTTGAATGTAACATTAATTTTGCATTTGCTTATGCGCAATTTCATCTGTGAGAAACACTAAAGGCACACAGAAAACTGTATGCAGCTGAAATGAGCTACACTGTGTAGAAATACACAACACACACATACACACACACACACACACACATATACACATACTTCTCAAACATCTACCAGCTACTTCAGTTCACTAAATGTCTTATCCTACAAGGTTGTTGTGTTTTGCTATTATTTCCCACATTTGAAAACTTTTCTGTGTTAAACAACAACAATCACTCAACATCCCAAACATGCCTAAGCATCCTGGTTCAAAAATGCCACGTAGCGTATCAGAAAGAAAAAAATGTAAATATTAGGAAAGGTCTTGAAATAATATAGGTTTTGAGAGAAAGGAGGGAGTACGTGATATCTCCCAAGCAGAGGTATAAAGGAGTTCACAGTGTGGAAAATCAGAAACTCCACAAAAATAAAAGAAATGTCTATAGCTGGAACAAGGTCAAGTGCAGTGAAGTCAAAAAGGAAAAGTTCTAAAGAAATAGGGGAAAAAAAAGATGGAAAGATTGTGGACTATGAACTGAAAACCAAACTGCATCAAAAACAACCTTTCTTATAATCAAAGAGAAAGAATAATGTATGTACAAAGGCCGTAAATAAATATTGCCAAATAACGAACAAGTCATTTTTTAAAATTTAGAAGTGTTTGGTGATTTTAAACATCACTACAGTTTCCAGGAGTGAAACACATGTTGATTGAAGAAGTAGGCTATATATTATATCAAACTACAGCTTTGATGAAACAAATGTCTATTAAAAATGCATGCCTTGGGCCGGGCGCGGTGGCTCACGCCTATAATCCTAGCTCTCTGGGAGGCCGAGGCGGGCGGATTGCTCAAGGTCAGGAGTTCAAAACCAGCCTGAGCAAGAGTGAGACCCCGTCTCTACTATAAATAGAAAGAAATTAATTGGCCAACTGATATATATAATATAAAAAATTAGCCGGGCATGGTGGCGCATGCCTGTAGTCCCAGCTACTCGGGAGGCTGAGGCAGAAGGATCGCTGGAGCCCAGGAGTTTGAGGTTGCTGTGAGCTAGGCTGACGCCATGGCACTCACTCTAGCCTGGACAACAAAGGGAGACTCTGTCTCAAAAAAAAAAAAAAAAAAAAAAAAGCATGCCTTGAAGGATCTACAATTCAAAGGCAAAAAAACAGGCCCAAGGATTTAAGGCTGTGAAACATCGCAAACTATGATAATCTTTCTTTAAGCATTTCATAGTAACTAGCAAGCTGCAACCCTTCCTATGTGCTCTTCTACAAGCAAACTTCAGGTCATTTTAAAGGCTAAGTGCCATTAAAAATAGTATTTATGTATTTCTTAACTATTTAACATGTATAAAACTGTGCTATACTTTTTATTAGAGTCCTATCTTTAAAAAACTGTCATTTATGAAGGTTTTGAGTGTTTAAGCCCATTTCCCCCATAAACCCTGTGGATTTTATTGTGTGATTTTACATAATACAATTATTTTGAGGGATGGATATTTGCTGTGATAACAAAACTGACAGTCCATATTTTCCCTTGATTTAAAATGCTGCTTTTATGTTTTATTATATTTCCATGTGTATTTTTTCTATTTCTGGATATTCAGCTTTGTTTTATGGTCTGACTACTCACACACCAATGCCATGATATTTTAATTTTGGAGACTTGACAATGTGTTAATATTTGGTAGAACTAGCTCTTCCTTCTTCCTCCCACCTCCTCACTACCCACAATTTCTATATTTCAGGGTTTTCCTATTCCATTTTTACTTGCCTATTTTTCCATATGGACTTTAGAATCAATTATATTTGCTCTAGGAAAAAAGATGTTGATGTTTTAAATGGAATCACATTAAATTCATGAATTAACACAGAGAGAGCTGACATCTTTATGATATTGAGTCTACCTTTCCATGAAATCTCTCCAGAAAAATGCCTTCCATTTGTTCAAGTCTATATTTGTGTTTTTTCAGAGGAGCTTAATGATCTTTTTCTCATAGAGGCTTTTACATTTCTTTTTTCTTTAAAGTTTTATTTTTAATTGACATATATTGATTGCGCATATTTATTGTACTGTATGTTTCAATACATATACACAATGGGTAATGATCAAATTAGGGTAATAAGCATATCTATCACCTCAGACATCTATCAGTCCTTTGTGATAAGTACATTCAAAATCTTCAAGCCATTTTGAAACATACAATATAGTATTGTTAACTATAATCACCCTAATAAGTGCAATGGAATACTTACTTCTCCTGCCTATGTGTAACTTTGTACCCATTGACCAACCTCTCTTCATCTTTCCTTCCCCCTACCCCTCCTAGCCTCTGGTAACCATTATCCTATTCTCTACTTTCTATGAGAGCAACTTTTTATTAAGTATATTTCTAGCATTTTATATTTTTTTGTTGCTATGATAAATGATAGTTTCCATTATATCATTTAAGTGGTTGTTGTTTTGATAAATTCTATTGGTTTCTGTATATTAATTTTATATTCTGCTACTTTCCTGAATTATCTTATTATTTATGGCCATTTTTCCATTAATTTTCTTGGCATGTCCAGGTATACATCATATGATATGATATTTATATTATTATTATTTTTTTTTAGTTACAGTTGTTATTTATTTTTTTTAAAGTTACAATTAAATGCTTTCAAGTCCTTTGAATTGTCTTTTCTTATGTTCTAACATAATTCAAAAATTTCATTTTTCTGAATGTTTTACATAAATGGGAACTGCCTATAAATTGGCAACCTGCTGCTATATTTCATGTCTTAATCAATATTTTATGAGATTAGTAATAAAAAACCTTGAGCTATATAACCAGCCATTCCCTAATAATTAGCCACTAGTGATGGTCCAAAGTAAAAATACTGGGCATAAGATTCAGTTCTCACTTGACAACCCAGTTTCTCATGTGAAGTCTGTATTGGGGTGGGCATCCAGGTGGCATCACTGAGTCAAAGAGGTATTTTCTGTTTTAAATAGGGAGGAAAGACACCAGTATCATCACTTATCATATTGATTTTCTGCCTAAACATCAGACTCTGAGTTTATGATGTGGACACTAATTTCATACATTATCAGCATTGTCCAAAATATTGTTTAATTCTTTAATGGAAAAAGCCATTAATATTCAAATGAAGGAATCACATTTAAAAACCTATACATAAGAAACAGCCTCTAAGAACATTCATTCAAGCAGCAGTCAGAGGAAGGAAAAAATTTTCAACAGCTGAGTTTTCTTCAAAATATTATGTGACAATACAATACAATTCACTGGCTACAACAATTCATAGAATTTTTCAATGTTTTCTTGAGATGCAAAAGTTCACTGCTGCAGTGTTTTCAAATGACCAATCAAGTGCTACTTCTTGGTTTAAAAGGCCACTGGTAGGTTCATCTGATTGTAAAGAATGTTCCTTCACTGCTGGAAAAATCCGCTGGCTCCCAAGAAAAGAAAACAGTTTGAAGCCTCTGCTGTCATTCTCACAACTCATCTTTCTCTAAGTCATCAAGCTCCACGTCACTTAGGTCAATGTCGTCTTCCACGGGAAGCTCACCATCCTTGCCGTCCCAAGGCTCTCTCTCGCTGACGCTGGGGAAAGCCCCGCCTCCCACCGGAGCCGTAGAGCCACGCCCAAAAGAGAGCTCCCTGAGAAACTCGTTAATGCCTTGCTCACTGAAAGACCCTTTCAGCAGAGCAAATTTCATCTTGCGTGCATTGATGGCGGCCATGGCGGGGTACCCAAACCCTCCAATCCCCAACGCATTCTCAAGTTCGTTCTGGGCTCCTGCTTCTGTCCACAGCCACCCCCACATTTTCTTTTTGTATTTGTCTGCCAACTTCAGAAGAACTTCCAAGTAAGAATTTCTGCCTGCAGCTCCAGTATCAAGAATATGGGGTAGCACGGCCACAACACAGAGCTGATGCTCCTCACATGTCCTCTTGGCGACATCCTCGTTGATTATCTCAAGCAGCTCAGGAGGTGGAGCATTATCTGAAAACAAATCAAGAGCCCGGGACGCTATGTCGGATCTTGTCCGCCCACCATCATAATCCACAGGAGACTTGCCTTTCTGAAATATTTATTTATTTATTTATTTTAAGTTTAGGATTTGGATTTCAACATTTTAATTTGAGTATAAGTCACTTTTTGCAAGCTAGGAAACAGTATCAGCCTAAGTAAGGCAGTATAGTCTTTAGGGATCCAGACTTCTGATCTTTCACAGAATGAGAACATAATACAAGGTACTGACAATAGGGTTATAAACTCTAAATAACAACACCTATCTACATTTTTCATTAGGAAACAGCCAAAAGTCCAGTCCTTAAAGGCATGATATACAGAACATCTTGATCTACAAAGGACATAATGACCCATATTATATGCTGTTCAACCTATTGGTGATATAGCTCAGAGCTGGCCAAGGATTGGTAAACAGAGAAGGTGTTTACATTTGAAAAGTTGCTCTGCAGTTTAAAAAATTCCTGGTTGCTGTCAATAAGAAAGAGAGTAAAAAATATTACAGATACATGCACACTGATATTTAATTTTACCAAGGTTTTACACTAGAACATGAATGCAGAAGTAACTAGAGGGGATAAACTTAGATTTTTTAAAAATAAATTACTTAGTAGTAAGAAATTAGACATGCTGCATTCTTCCATTTGTGGCTAGAACAAATTGACAATGAAGACCATTTAATAGAAACACTCAACTCTAAAGAGGGCGGTGGCAGCAACACTTTCCACTACAGAATAACCTCCTGTTTTCCTAGACAATTAACATTGCTATTGTTCCATGATACATATTCCAGTGGAAAGACTTGTCAGGAGCTTTGCCAGGGCCAGAAGCTGAAAAGCAGAGGATGTCCTAATTAGCTAATTGTAAGCTTAGTTAACATCTTGGGGATGGAACCAAAATCTGGACATTGTTTTTAACATTGCAAACTGCAAAATTCCTTAGCCCTTAGCCATAGTTTTTGCTCAATATCTCAAAGCTAGGTGTAGTCCCATTGTGACTTTTCTCCTCAGGGCTGGGTGGGTGCTAGTCATCAAAGTCTGGAATGTCATCTTAGGAGTAACCCCGGTAGCCTTTGGATGCATAGTAGGCAATGCGCAGGTGGTAAAATCCGGGAAGGAACATCAGAATGCCAATGATCAGGACTGGAACAGCTCGATCTGCCCCCCCTTTGCTGATGTAGCCTGACAACAGGAGAGAGCCTACGATAATGAGAAAGGCGCCAATCAAAAACAGCACGGTGGCAAGTGCAATGGCCTTATAAGGAATCTTAGGAGGGCTTTTCTTAAACTGAAGGTCAATGTAGCCATCGTCTGTGCTGGAAAGCCTTGAATATTTCACTTTACTACTTGGGATTCCAGTAGCCAGGTTGGTACGGGAAGGCATCATAACACACTGATACAACTATAGTCAGAGCGCCACGCCAGTGCCCCGCGCGCCGAGAACTCGCCCACGGTTGGTAGCGGAGGAGCCCGAGGTTGCATTGGCACGGCCCACCTAACTGCCACACAGTCCGCCCAAGCACCGACTAGGCCGCCGCTCTGAAATATCTTTTTTTTTTTTTTTTTTTTTTGAGACAGAGTCTCACTTTATTGCCCAGGCTAGAGTGAGTGCCCTGGCGTCAGCCTAGCTCACAGCAACCTCAATCTCCTGGGCTCAGTGATCCTACTGCCTCAGCCTCCCAAGTAGCTGGGACTACAGGCATGAGCCACCATGCCCGGCTAATTTCTTTTATATGTATTAGTTGGTCAATTAATTTCTTTCTATTTTTGGTAGAGACGGGGTCTCGCTCAGGCTGGTTTCGAACTCCTGACCTTGAGCGATCCGCCCGCCTCGGCCTCCCAAAGTGCTAGGATTACAGGCGTGAGCCACCGCGCCCGGCCTCTGAAATATCTTGATTGTAGGAAATCCCCTAATCCCATATCGGGAGGCCAGAACCTGATTGACTGTAGCATCCACAGCTGCCAATTTCACCTTTCCTTTTGTTTGTTCTTTTACCTCTGAAGCTGCAGCAGCCCATTCTGGCTCCAGGTTTTTGCAGTGTCCACACCAAGGAGCATAAAACTCAACCATCCAAACATCTTCACTGTCAAGGACATTTTCATCAAAGCTGTCTTCCGTCAGCTCAATCACATCCTTCTTACTTGAACTATCACCTCTCCCTTGTTTTCCAGAACTATATCCACCACTCCTTCCCCCGAGGCGATCCTTCACGAGCTGGCGCAGAGCACATCTACAATGGCTTCATCAGTTCTGCCACCCTGGTAATCTTCTGGTCTGTTTTTGTTGGATCCAAAAATCTTGATGGTAGGGAATCCCTGAACACCATACTGACCTCCCAGGGACTGATGTTTATCCACGTCAACTGCACCAACTTTTACAACATCTTTTAATGCAGTTGCTGCTTTCTTCCATTCTGGTGTTAACTTTTGACAGTGACCACACCATGGAGCATAGAATTCTACAAGCCACAAACTATCACTTTGAATGACTTCTCGGTTGAAATTTGATGGAGTTAATTCAATTACATCATCGCTAGAAGAATATAGACCATTCACTGCTAGAAAGAAGGTACAGCTCACCAGACCGAGCCCCAGGCGAGCCATGCCGAGCGCCGAGCCTTTGTGCAGTCGCCGCCGCCGCCGCCAGCTCTGATATTTATATTATTAAGCAAGAGAAATCAAGTAGGGCATTTTCCAATTCAAATGCCCCAAATGCTTTATTTTTCTTCATGGCATTGCAACTAATACCTCCCATACAATGTGAAATAGTAGTGGTGATAGTGGTTTTCCTTGTCTCGTTCTTGCCTTTAAAAGGAATGCTTCTAGTATTTCCCTACTATACGAGCTCCTGGCTTTTGGGCTAAGATATATTAAGAAAGTTTCTATTTATTCCTATTTTATTGAGTGTTTTTAGGAAGGAGTAGAGAGTTCCTAGGTCTAACTGAACATTGTTGGATAAAATGAGCAGTCAAGGATGTACAAAAGAAAATAAAGTTAGTAGAAAATAGTCTTCTTGAACTATTTATAAATACTTGTGAAAATGAAATTTCTTTGGGTATAGGCCTTTGCATTTATTTCCTGCTTCACTGTGATAAGAGGTGGCAATTCCAAATAGATTAAGTACAGGTTTGTGTGGGGGGCTGTGTTGGGCGGGGTATATCTATCTATCTGAGAATGAGGCTTTGAAATTAATAAATGTGATTAAATTAAAAATTATGTGTCAATTTTTATTTTGTCCTATGCTCTGCATTCTAAGATTTCATATTGGTAGGGATGATATGTGTTTTTTGTCTGCCAATTCTGCACATACAACTATCAGATTATTATAAATTTAAGGTCAGGGCACATATTAAAGAAATAAGAATTTAGTGGGGATAACTGGGGAAGAGTTTACTGGTGGCTAGGACCTCATTTCATTGTGTTTGCCGGGGGTACCTAGCAGAAGGCACTGTGGGTGCTTTGCTAAATATGGGTGTAAAGAAAGAAGTGAATTTTGAGGTGTGTTTGAAAGCAATACAACTGCAGTTGTGTTGCATAGTGGTTTGTATATAGTGTAGCATAGTGTTTTAGTACATCGATTTTTGGTGCTAGACTTTTTGAGTTCAATTTCTGGCTATACCACTTACTAATTGTGATCATGGTCAATTTCTACACATTTTCTATGCCCTAGCTTTACCGTACATAAAAATAGGGATTATAATGTCTACCTTACAGGTCGTTAGGCTTAAATCAAACTGTATATGTAAGAACTTAACATATTACCTACCACATAGTAAGTACTCTAAAAATATTAGTATTCTTATTGGACGGCAGATTCTCCCTTGTTTTATGGCCAGATGCTACTATTTATGACTACTTTTTAGGGTGATTAGTGTAGAAAATACAGGTGATTTGTTTTATATAAGCAAGAAATTAGGATATTTTTCTTATGGTTAAGGTTTCCTATTATAATATTTTTGGTTTTTATTATATCAGAGGATGTATATATCACAGAAATTTGGGTTGAATAAGCAACATATTTAAGGCAATTTTATATAAAAAGTCTGAGATAGTTATGCATAAAATGGTGTACAGAAAACAAAGTTAAAACTAAATCTTAAGTAGAATTGGATTTCAATATATTTAGAAAGTACTTATTTAAACATTTTAATATTATATTGAAATGCTGACCCATTGTGCTATTAAGATAAAATACCTAATTGCTAAAGACAAAATATATTTTAAGTGATTTATTTTCTGAAAAACTATTTTTTCATTTTTTTATTATTTAACTTTTTTTTTAACATGCTATTGTCTAGAACTAGATGTATTGAAATAGAAGGTAGACAATAGTAAAAAGAAGTGGAGTCATTTCTTGCCTCTTTGTGCTTCATTATCTTCTCAAAGAAGTAGAAATTTATACTACATGATCTTTCACCTCCCTTCCATGAATTTCTTGTAAAGGAAATCTTAATCTGTCTTTAAAATAAATGGATAAAGAAAATGATGAAATGTATTGATTCTTTATGTTGCATAAGTAAATAATGTAATCAATATAAAATATTCTCTTAAATACTCCCATAACTATGAAAATGTTTATATTAGGTATTAAATTTCAGTTTATATTACATAGAAAATGTATGTTTCCTGTATGCTCTTAGCTTTGATAATTAAACTTTGCTATAGAACTACTTCATAGGAAAGCCCACTTTCATTGCAATGATATTTTTGGTAGCAACTGATGTTAACTACCATTTTTAAGGAAGTGTAATGATTCATTGTAACCTGTTAAGTGTAGTGATTCATTGTAACCTGAATCATTGTAACCTGATTCATTGTAACCTGTTAGGTTACAAAGAATGTAGTGATTCATTGTAATCTATAGTGATTCATTGTAACCTATACTCTGGCCATAGCAATAGCTAGAGTACGAGCATTTTGGCATTGGTTCTCTGAGCCTCTGTTCCCACAGTATGATGTGGGACTAGATAATACCTGTATAATAGGACTAGATAATACCTGTATAAATAGTACGTTATGTTATGAAAGAGAAACCCTGAACTTAAGGAAATCTGAATTTTTTATTATGGACAATAAGTACATCTGCCCTTTGCTCTAGAGGAAATATCTCTATTTACCAAAGCTGTTCATTGTACAAATATCCTTGAAAAGATAGTCTAGAACAGAAGACAGTGCCTCTGCTCACAAGAGGTGCAGAAACAAAAAAGACCCATGGAAAATTGTCTCCTAACATTTATACCTTTTGATAATAACATATATATTCTGATTGATTATTAATAACTCACATGTTCAGATGTGAGAACTTAACATATCAAAACTTGAAATTTTAAGCTCAACCTAACACATAACAGAGTCATCAGTCTGAAACAATCAGAAGTTACTATATAGACAAAGATTTGTATGAAAGGGCCTATGGTTATTAATAATTATAAAATGGCATATATTCACTAATATTTGGCAGCAACAGGATTGTGATATTATGTTAGTTGTTATGACTCTTTTTCTATCCTGTTGTCATTCTTTTCATACTGGGAAATTGCTGTTTTCCAAAGTCAATCTTGGAGTGATGTGAGTAACAGAGTGACAAGTCTGCATGTCAGTTGATAACTGCTGGATATGCACACAAGAAGATGACATGGATAGTGCCTTAGAATGGGGATTCCCAATCTGGGGGAAGAAAGACATGATGGGCCACAAAATTCTTATTACAAATTAGAATGAAGATCAAGAATTGCCTATAGAATTGAGAAATTTTGAGGGGGCAAGTAGTATAAGTTTAGCTTAACTAAAGTGGAAATGCTAACAGAAGGATTCTGGCATACATACAGAGGCAGTTTGTCATGAACACTGCTCAGCTTACTTTCTCAGAGAATCTGGACGTACTAAAATAGTTTTTACTAATAGCTCATCAACCTGCTCCAGAGCAGACAACCCACACTGGTCTTTTTGATGGCTTCCAGCCAATCAGCTAATCCAAATAAAAGCAAAAACACACTGCCCTCAGATAATCTGCATGTTTTTTTCCAACTCTGTCTCTCTCTTTTATAAATTATGTTTTTGCTATTTTTTGTTGACAACTGTTTAATGACAGACTCTCTTTTATTTAGACTCTTTTTACATAAATTTACATACAGTGAATATGAACTGTTCCTGAGTTATTTATTGATAATCCAAATTCATATCTCTTATGTAATACTATTTTAAAGTTATATGCTATTTTGTTAAGTGAAATGTTTATATAAAAGCATTAATAAATTGATGGTTTTAATGTGTATTTTCTCAACCAATATATAATAATGGGGACAATAGCCTTATAATAACTATTAATCAATAAATCAATTAGCCAATAATTTAAAGATACCTTCTATATTCTTAGATAGTCTCTGAAAACAATGAGTCAGGGATCCCAGAAAAACACATTTCAAAATAATTAGTAAGTATGCTAGTAAGCTTAAAAAATTTGACTAGTTTGGACACTAAATGTCCTAGGAGAAGTTTAGCAGGCAGAGGTTGAAGTGGAG